GAATCACAGAATGGTTTGGTTTGGAAGGTACCTTAAAGCTCATCTGGTTCCACTCCCCTTTCACTAGACCAGGTTGCTCCAAGCCCCATCCCACCTGTCCTTAAACACTGCCAGGGAGGGGGTAGCCATACCTTACCTGGGCCTGGGAAAGCTAAAAGAAATGATGTACTCTTATATATTTCTACATATTAATGTACCAGTATAGTTGAAACATAGGTATTTAAAATGTCCTTAAGGAATCCACCGAAGCCATATTATATATTTAGGTATTTATCCAAACACTTAAGTTCTAGGAGTAGAATGTAACCTCCCGCGAGGAGGTAATTCCTGATGCAGATGGGGCCCTTTAATTTCAACCGCACCACTGCAACTGGGGTCTGTGTTTCCAACACACTAAGAAGCCCTCGCCTATCCCTCCGCAGGTGTCAGGGTGCAGTCCCCGTCAAGGGACTGACCTCCTGGCTTACAAAGGCGTTGAGCACCCGGCGGCAGCTGGGGGGGTGCTGACTCTGGTCGCCCCATTTCTCCCGTGCGCGACGGAGTGCGGAGCTGCGCCCCCGCGGTGCTGCCGCCGGACTCCGGCTGGTGGAGCGGGTTCCTCCCTACCCGCCGCGGGGCCATTGCGTCAACCCTGGGAGGAGGATCCTCGAGGTAAATGAACTTTTTAAACGGGAAAAGGAGAAGCAGGGAGAGGAGGAAGAAGAGGCGGGGACAGCACCCGCCCGAGCGCTTGCTCTGAACGGGAAAACGGGCTTCGGCCGTTGCCCGGCGCCACGGCCGGAGGATGCGCTTCGCCGTCGCGCTGAGCGCCCGGCTCCGCGGGCGGGCGGTGGGGCTGCGGCCGTAGCGCGGCTCCGCGGTGAGTGAGCGGCGGTGCTGTCCGCGCAGTGAGCGCTAGAGCGAGCGGCGGGAGCCCGGAGCGGCGAGCTTGGGCCGAGGGGCTGATGCAGCAAGCAGGCAGCGAGTGGATCTGGCCGCGCTCCTGCTGCATAGGTAACGGGCGGGGCTGGAAGTTGAGCGAGGTGTGATGAGAAAGACGGCTTGGGGCTGTGAGACGGGTGAGAGTTGTCGGGTACCGTCGGCATCGCTGCGGCCCCGGGCACCCCTGTCTGGTGCGGCCGGAGTCCCCCGGCCCGCCCGGTCCTAAGGCTGCTGCCTGCTGCGGGGCGAGAGGTTCTGTCCGGTCGGTAATGGGTACACCGCGGGAGGACCGGGGTATGGCCCCGGATGCGGGTGCTGGCGGGGCCTCTGCCCGCCGCCCTCTTACTGATGCATCCCCGTGCTCGGTGAGGCAGCCTGTGTGGAAAAAGAGTTTCCAAAGGCAACTGATGCCCTGGCACTTAGCTTCTCATTGAGCAAATAACCCGTGTGTGTCCGGGTGATGTGGGCACTGACTGTATGTGCTTGCGTATGTATATGCATAGCATGGTTGGGTTGTTTTTTTCCTGTATGCGGCTACAAATAATTTTGTCTACTTGGTAGGGTGTATTTGTGCACTGGTAACTGTTCTCGCCTACTTTTTCTATCTTAAAGCACTTACATTCATTCCCTTCTGGTATTTTCACAAGTGAAAGTCTGTTGTTATTACTGTACTTAATACAAGGTAACATAATTATCTTTAAAGGCAGAGATTGTCTATCTTTATGATTTGTAAGTAAGTGGAGATAATAAGTATAATAGGGAAATAATTCCTAATCTCTTCCCAGTTATTGGATTATCATTTCTTGTGGTGCAGAAAAGTGTGGTTTATTGTTGTGGATTTGGGGGATCCACATAGCAGTTTAACCTGTCTGAGGAGTGTGTGTACTGGGAAGCTTTAATGATAATATGCAAGGAGTGAACAGAAAGAATACTGTGGTTTTGTGGAAAGTATATTGTACTGTTTAAAACACCTTTAAAAATATCAAATGCTGTAGAAACTTGTAAGTAAGTTATTATTCCATTTTATTTAAAATAAAGTTGTAGAATAGGGAAGAGATTCTGTAATGCAAGTAAGCTCCCTGGTGATAAATATTTAGCTTTGGTGTAGAGTTCACTAGCATAAGGAAAGCGAGTCAGAAGAACACATCTGAATAGTAATTTAGTGCTGTAGCAAGTCCTGGAAGCTCTGTTCTGGAGCTTCCAAATAGCTACGAAAGACTGTAGATATTTGCAAATAAAAACAGTTTAGCTGTAGTTTGTATTGGTAAATCAGCATGACTGTAATATTTGAGAGGCACGGTTAGCCCTGGGGATTTGATTTTGTCCATTCTCTTCAATTTTTTTACTTTCTTGGGGGAAAACCTCCCGAAGTATAAAGCTATAAGAAAACACAGTATGTTGTTAGATTACAGCAGTAATGTTGATAGCAGGATTCCCTAGAGAGCCTTGTTTGATTGCAAACAAGATTCTTCCTAGTCCACATATACAAATATGTTTATCTTTTATGAGCAACAATATAATGCTTTCAAATGATCAGTGAAAAAGGACTTCTCATAACCAGACATGGATGTGTAGAAGCAACTCAAGAGTTAAAAGAACAGCAGCACTGCTGAATCCATTTAACTGGCAAAGTGGTTTTAATTGGGTTGGTTGCTAGGGAATGGCTCCAGCACCATGTCTTTCAATAAATTCAAACATTGGACAAACGGCACACCTAATGCTTATACGATACACCTGGTAGTGGCTCCAGTCCTATTTAGAGCAGGTGTGTGTTGCTTCTTGCTCATCAGTTTTCCCTTCCTGTGCAGTTCCAGCATGTGGCTTATATGCTGCTGCCCTGCTCTGCGGTGGCTGCTGGGTGAGTTGAACTTGCCCTCATGGTTCGGTACCAGTGCTTTGCAGTAGATTTGTTTGAAAAAATAATCAGTTAATAGAAGTAGGATTAGAAACAGCTCTCTAGAGGTAACCTCAAAGTGGGATTAATTAATTTATTATTTGGTACAGGAATTGATTTGTTACGTGTTTGTTCCCTTTCTGCTCCAGGAAGAGTCAGGTGTTACTCTTGATTACATTGGAATAACTTAATTATTTGACCTCAGTGAAGTTGCAGTGTGCTCGTGCATGGGACAGTTGTGCTTGGACAGGCATTAAAGATTGGGAATGCCAGTGTGTACTGTACTGTCTGTTACTAGTGTTGCACACAGTACCTCCTATACCTGTGCCAAGTAGTACAGATCAATAGCATGTTAAAAATGTCATCTGGGGTAGAACTGACACTGGTCATCCCTGTGTATCCTGCTTCTGGTGCTATAGAACTAGCATTCGAGGGCAGTATTAAAAATAAGTCTTTCCTTGGTGCAAATGCTACTTGGGAACGGAGTTTGGCTCCTTTCTTTTATAAATAGAATAAATGTACTGAAGTCTGGCTTTATTTCTTCAACGTTTATAATGAGACTTAGTGTAATGTTCTGTGTTGCCACACAGGAGAATTAAGTTTGGCTTTATTCTCATTCCCCATTCTAGCAGGAGTTATGAAGAAAAAGAGGCAGCTGTATCTAATTCAGGCTATGGAGGGAGTCAGGGACTTGTTAAACTCCACCGTAAATCCTAGAAAATAAGAGATGCAGACTTTGTCTAAAGCAGCCTGCTAGAAGGTTGCATAGGCTTAATCAAGCTGAGTTAGGTGCCCCAGCTGAAGAACATAAATTACTGATAGCATTTACTTAAATACAAACCAGGAGTGAGTAGGCTTGTCAAGTTCATATGTGTAATCTGGGAGAAAATAAGAGGCATACCTAATTCTCATGGGAGCCACTCCAGATTAAGCATCTTTAATATTGGAGGATGGCCTGCAGAGGCATAGAAAGCAGTAGACCATCTGTACCACTCAGATCAAAATGCATCATTGGAGAGGGTGCTATATGAAATGTGAAGGCAGATTGGGGCACTGCTATGGAACTCTTCTGGTTTTATCTATGAGTTGCAGCTTAAACTTGTTGACAGAAATGGAGAAAGAACTGTGATAGAGACTTTGTCATACTTCTCCCCTGAAGTTCACTGAAGACTAGGGGTTAAAAAAAATCAATCTATATTTGACCACTGGCAATCCAGGCGAGAGCCTCTTCTGTTGCTATTCTAAGAACTGTTTAAAGCTGGCTTTTAGATTTTATTGCATATATGCTGTTAGTTGTGGCATGTCTGTTTTATGAATGCATACTTCAAGAAACAGGTTATTTTCTAAAATTGCTTTAATTTTCTTACCTAGTTATTGGTATGAGTTTTGCACATAATTACATACTTCGAGTTGGTTCCCAGCAGTACTTACGCTGATAATAATAGGAACATAACACATCAGAGTAGTTGAAAAATCTTCATCGAGGAGGGGGGTGAGAAAGAGATAACAGGTTCAGGAGAAGTTGCCTGTTGTACTTGACAGGAAATTCTCTTCTCCACTGGCAGTATCCTCTCAGAGATAACTCTTTTAAACCATAAAGATGTAAATATGGATAAAATAGCTGTGGAAGAGCAGTTTATGCGCATCCCCAAATGCGTTGGGTATTTTATAGGTAGAGAAGCAGCTTTCTGAGCTGGGGACAACTTCTGTTTTTAGTGACAATGGAGGGAGGGACGGGCAATAAACTGTGAGGAAAAGACAGGCAAAGGGAGAGAGGCAATGAGGTCATGAGGTTACTGCCATGCATTTATTTAAAAGAAGTGAGAAAAATGCAAGGAAGGCTGTCAGATGCACAATACAGTGAATGTAGTTATGGGCAGATACAAGAATGGGAGGCCTTAAATGCTGCAAGGAAAGTCAGCAAATGCTAGTATTCCAAGAAGCTATTGGCTAGTGTAGAGCAGAAAAACCCACACTAGCTTTTAGAACTTCAGGAAAAGGTTTGTGTGTAATGAAAACATATGTTGTCACTTTATTTTATTGGGTTTTTTTAACAGAAGTACATGTGGAGTAATTGCTGAAAAGCAGAAGTCATTTCTCTACCCTCTCTCCCCAAAAGCTGGTGTCCAGGAATATGTGCTTGCTAAACTAACTTTTTTTTTTCCCCCCTTTCCTTTTGAAACAGATCCAGGTTTGCCTTTCAAGCTGCTTTTGACTACTCCGGACAGTAGCAACACATTGAGTCTGACATGATTCTTCCCAGTTGTGCTGCTGCAGATGGAATTCTGAGTACAAGGAATGAAAACTGATAGGACTTGTCGGTGTTCCTTCTGGTACAGCCTGGCATATCTCTGAGCAGCCACAGAGGTACTAAAGCTCTGGCTGTAAACTTAGGCATCTGGACTTTTCTCTTTCTCTATCCATTGGAACAAGTGCTAGGATATTTAAAATCAATGTTCAGTTTCTATGAAAAAAGTTGATTTCACCTGCCTGTGAAACTCGCTGGAGAGACTAGTAAGGAATAAGGATTTTTTGTTTCCTTAAAACCATCTTAGTGTATGTTTTTGGAAAACAGCCTTAATAAATATTGCATCATGCTATAGCTACATATCTGTTGACTTACATGAAAATTCAATATGCATTTGTTAAATAAGCATAGAAGCAGAGTACAATTTTTCAGACCAGTGGTTTTGCTATTGCATGAGAACTTCCTTAATCAAAGTTTATCTCAAAGAACAGACGCTGGCAGAGATCAAGTAATAATGTGGCAATGAAATAATTTGCTGGAAGAAAAAGTGTTTTCCCAAGTGGCTTTAGGGGCAGGGTGGCCAATGTATTTCCTTGGGTTGAATGCTCTGTGCTGGGTTCTTTCTAGTCAGGCATTTCTGGTCTTTACAAAAAGCAGATACTCTCCCTTGTGTTATTTTTAATTGATTTTTTTTTTTTTCAATGCATTACAAGAGATTGTTGGCACCAGTCCAGGAAAAGGCAGGCAGCAAGCAGGGAATTCGTCAAAAACTGACTCATTGATCGCTGGATCTGATGAAATAATTAGTACTTGATATTTTCAATACAGCTTCATACTGTTGTTTTGACTTCCAAAAGCAAGAGAAAATCCCTTCATACCAGAGGAGCATTAAGCAAAACAATGATTTTCAAAATTCTTCAGCACACCTATGTATTTTTTGGCCTCTCAGTGTAAGAATTGTGAGGGATTTTTAATTGGCTCATCAACAGGAGCAGTACCAGTTAGATGCGCTCTGTTCTGCAACAGAGCATTGGTGCATTGTGTTTTATGATGGAGAGAAGTCACAGGAGCTGCAAAAGCTTTGGTGCTTCCATTCCCAAACATTTTCAGTAATGGACCTTCAAATGTGCTCATTAATAATAATGATATTTAAAAAAGAATAAATCTTGGAAACCATCAGAAATGCTGAAGGGATATCGCACGAACATCAAAGCTATACTAGACTTCAAACAGCATTGTACCATAGTTCCAAGTTCTGGGCAGCTCTGCTCTGTAATGAAATTTGTAAGATAAATCAGTGTATAACAAGTTGTCTTCCTGAGGGTCCTCCATGAATTTGCAAATGTGTTGTTAATTCGGTGAATTTTGCCATAGTCCTGGCAATAAGGAGAGACGTGTTTGGGTTTTTTCTCCAACATCTGTGTTTTTGATACAGTAAACAAAAATGTCACCTCGAAACATCCCAGAACTTTAAGGAAGCGGGTTGCCTTTTGCATGTATCAAAGCAAAAGTAAGGGTTTGATACCCTGCTAAATCCTTGAACTTGCTGCCAAATTTGAGCACTGGGTGAAGCTTTGTTGCTGATGTTGGTAACAGTTCATGAGCTGTGAATTTTCAAGTTTCAGCTTCTAGCTGGCACTATAGGAAAAGGTTCAATTGTTTTGTTTGTGGTTTGCTTTTTTTTCGTTAGGAGTTAGGTTATTTCAAGTATATTGGGTTTTACTACTTTGGAGAGAAACTTGCTGTCCCTTGGGGGGCAGGGAGGTCAAGGTATAAATAAACACTTGTTTCCTTCTCCCTTATAGGAGACCTGCAAACAAAGAAGAAATAGAAGCCATTAACCTACCTTGTTCAGAGAGAACACTAAATCAGCCAATATGGCACAGCACTGTATTGTCCTTGGATTATTCATGGTGACTGTTTTATCACTGCTGGATGGAAGTTCAGCTTTCCTGTTAAATCAGCGTCTGAAGGGAAGATTTCAAAGAGACCGTAGAAACATCCGCCCAAACATCATCCTTGTTCTTACTGATGATCAGGATGTAGAACTTGGTAAGACCCCGACATAAAGAGAATTTATATATGGCACTGCTTTGCCTTGAATCTAGATTCTTCTGTTCAGAATAATTATTTTTTATCAGTGTGAAAAATGACAGGAAGAGCAAGTAACAAAAGTTTAAACCTGCCTTTGTGTAGAAAATACTTTCCATCCACATGCAATTTAAGGAAGCAAAAGTTAGTCTCAAGTTAAAATGCTAAACTTCCTGTTTCTGTGGAAATACGAGACTCCTGCCTATCTGTCTTCATCAGACAGCTAAACTATGCTTCTGGCGATTGCAGGTTTAACCTGGGAAGCTACATGCCAAAGCAGTAGATTTAAATTCATAACTGATTATTGCACCATGTAATTACCCATATTTTTGTGTGTAATTGCAGATGTTCATTACACACACAATTTTAATTTTAATTACTTAAATGTTACCTAGAATAGTCGTACTGTTCTTGGTATTGTCCATTTAGATGTGTAGTTAATTACTGACCAAGATCACTTAGTAAGACCTTTTCATACTGTGTTACTCAATGCTATGTTAATTGTTGAAGAAAGGAGATGAAGATTAAACATGTGCTTTGCTTAATTATTTGGAATAACAAATTAATGACAGAGGCTGGGTTTGTTACCTGAATAAGCTTATATTTATTAAATGTTGTCTGTAGTTAGAAGTGATTAACACAAACCAGTTTACATTAATAATTTTGCATTAGAAATATGCTTTTAAGTGGGTATAAAGTGTGGATCATCTGAAAGATGAGAGCTTCTGTATGTGTGGTCTGGTGAGGTTTTTGACAGTTGAGAAAAACTGGAAAACAGACCTCACAGAAGAAATGGAACACAATAGTAAAATTAACCAGTTTGTATAATTTACACACTTCCTCATCTGGTTGGGAAGTTAATCACAGCAATGTGGCAATATTCCTGCAGATGCTTTCCTTTTATCAGTATTGTTGCATGTCTGCAGGATTGTAGATGTCACGTTCTTCTCAAAGGTGGTGAGGAAGCCTTCTATGACACTAACCCCACTAAATACAAGTGTAATTCCTATTAGTAGGATCAGAAAATTAGTTGTTGTTGTCATTGTCACTTTTCTAATGGGTATTTGGATCACAAAGAAAGCAGCTTCAATAATGCATATCCAAAAGAACTTAACTGCATTATCTTGCAGGCTTAGAAGGTGGTCCTAAAAAATTTATCATCTTCCATTTTATGCTAGCCTGCTTGTTTCTGATGCAATTGTCTAAGTCCTTTGGGCAGTATAGTTTCTCTTCTCTGATAATCTGATGCTTTCCAATTTCAAGCATAATGGGCATGTGTCCACACAAATTAGGATCTAACTAAGGAAAATCCATTTGATGAAGCTGAGATTTGATATTTGTCATTTGCTACTAATGGCTCTGGGAGACCCAGTATTTATTTGAATTAATTTTTATTCTTGTCTCTTGTCTGGAGGGTTGTCCAGGTTAATCATAATTGCCATTTGTGGGGATTGTGGTTAATGCACTTAAGAAAGATGGGAATAAAATGTGAATAATGAACAAAAGCTAAGGAAAACTTGGAAGCTGTGAAGCTGTTGCAAAAAAAGCTGTGCATAACTAAGATTTCATCTGCTTCTAAAAATATTCTGTAACTGATGGGTGTTCAAGCTTTCATTGTTCTTGTGTGACTGACTTTTGAGGCAAAAGGGAAGCCAACACGATCTCAAGTGCTCTTAACAGCCTTTCCTTTATTCAATTTAAGATATATTTAATAGAGTACCAATAGCAGGTGGAGTTTACCAGAATGTCTTTCTTTCAGGAAAGGAATGCAACTTTTTGTTACTGCTTTTTTGAATTTTTACTACTGTTAACCACAAGTTTTACTTGGGAAACCAAACCTCAGCCTTGTGTTGAAAAAGGAAAAGATTTATGAAGGGCTGATGAAAAGGATGCAGAATTTCCAGGTCAAAGGGGAACAAATGTAAATTGTAATATATACAAATGGAGGAAGATAAATGAGAACACAGAGAACTCCTGAAACACACACTCAGTTGACTGTCTAATCAAGGGAGTTGTATTGACAAGCAGAATGTAAAGAAGAGGAATATACTGACGAGGAGAAAGAATTAATTAAAAACAAAGACTTTTCTTTCCCCCTTTAGAGCCATTTAAGTCCAAGTTAGTATAATGCTGATGTCCCCTGTGTGATGGACTCAGCACCTCCAGTTTAATTAGGTTTGCCTGCCTTGTTTCTGTGGTTTTAACAAACCAGCTTATTTCATTATCTCATAGTTCAAGAAAGGTTTGGTTATTTGGAAAGTATTTCAGCCATGTTAGAAAATCTGAGTGAGAGGTAGTTTGTATGTTCCTACAGCTTCCTCTGGAAAACTATATAAGTGGCATGGAAGATGATGTTTCTTAGTTATCATGTGCAGAATGAAGCCTTAGAGCTTCAATTTAAATAGGAGAATAAAAAAGAGGAAATGAAGATGTGAAAAGGGTATCTAATGACGTTCAGATAAGATTAGAAAAAATAGAAGGCTTTATGGGACAGTTAATTAACATTCTGGGGTTCAGTTAACTTATCTGCATATGGATAGCAAATCTTAAATTGTGCTTCAGAGTAGACCAAGTCACTTGGGACTTAATACATGTCCTTCAGCAGTTGGAGTTCCTAAGACTTACGTAAATTACGACCTCTGACAGCAAACACAACTATTGAGAAAGTTAGTATTTTCTCGTAGACAACTGGTATATTTTCTCCATTAGTATTAGTCAAAATATCAGCCTTATCCCTAAAGTGATCCCTCCCAGTGTGGAGACACACTGAGAAAAGTTATGGATACCACACAAGTGTCAAGTGGAATTTCCACCTTGGTTTTGCCTCACTTTACGTGAGCAGCTTCAATGCACCACATTGATTAAACTTTCCTATTTTCACAGTAGTCCAATGGATATTTTTTTAAATAGCTTAGAAATTTTGCATGTAACTACTGAATAATTTTTATTTATCATCAGTGGGTTTAGGTAACAGAACATTTTCTGAATTAAATATTGACACTTCAAAGCATGACTTCTCTTGGAATATCCACTAATGAAACCCCAGAAGGTTTTCCATATCAAGAGGTGATTTGATGAGGTTCCAGTTGGTGATTAACACATAACTAATCTTCTGACATAGATGATTTTCTACTTTTTCTCACAATTCTGTGTTTGTATCAGAAGCAAGCTGAAGAAAATAAGTTTTGGTTGGCTGGTTTAATGCTGTGTAAAATATTTAAAGCTGGCCTATTTAAGACTGTGCGAAGGAGTATGCTGGATTTTTACCTTCCACTGATCTGTCACTCTGTGTTAGTTCTCAAGCTGGGGAAGCAGATTAGATCATATGTTTTTCTATTAAAGACTGTTGATATATAGGGCCTTGTCATTACAGCAGTTTTATTAAAGGAGGTTACTGTCCCCAAGGGGAGTCTTAACATGTACTGTTATTTATGCACAGATGCCTCTGTCATTTAAAGAGGTTGTTAAATTGTATTTTAATATTGGGATGACAAAACATTGTTATGGTCTGCCTGTTTATGCTTGGGCTAGCTCATAAGACAACGCAGAGGAAATGTCTGCAGTTTTCAGGCTTGCATAATGTATAATTGCCTGTTACAATTGTTAACTGTAGTGTTAGTGCCTTTGAGCTCTAACACTTATCCCACAGTTACGGAAACAAAAAAAAAATCTTGCTTTCTTAAGAAACTTCTTTTTGATATTTGACAAGTTCTGAAGGAGGAGTGCGATAACCTGCCTTGGTTCTTGTCAAAAAGTGGTATGACAGACATGGGCTGTGGCCCGAGTAAGAAAAGGATCTCAAGGGAGCTAATACCATGGCAGTTTTTAGGTGACATGACCTATAGTAGCAATTGGCCTTCCTTTATGGTGCCAGAGAGTCAGGTTTTGTACGTGGCTTGAGACTATTTTCCTTTTAGGTTTTGACTCCTGGTTATTTCAATGTGCCCTGTATCAAACCTACTTATTGTTGCAATTTCATAATGATATCTCCATCAAAAGGGCTTAGAAGAAACCTAAACCCATTATTGATAGAAGCAACACACAGTTTATGCCAGATGTTTGCAGGATGCATTGATTAAAGCTGAACTATTAATCCAACTCAACCTTAGGTAAGTTAGCTCCAACCCTGCTCCAGCATGAGCCCATACCTTCATCTTTATGTTGTCCATTGGCTTGCCCAGTTCATAACATGAAGGGAGGGTTGATGATGGAAAGGTTTACTCTCCTTTTCAGGGTCATGCTGAGGACAAGTACCATTGTAAGTTCTTTGTAAAATGGAAATTCTTCACAGATCAAGTATAACTCTGTTGCAGTTTTAACTGTCAGGCACTGATAGGTGAGGGAAACGAAATGTCTCTTTTATTTCTGATCCTTGGTGTTTCTGCATGTAGGAAGAGCTCTGATATGGATCCAGATCTTGCTAGGTGGATGTCTATAGTAAAGATAAGTCTTTGTCTAAAGTCTTGTCTTAAATAGGAAACAGAACAGGCATTTGGCAGCAGTATGGCTTTTAGTAATTGTTGGCAAAAAGACTTTTGCTCCTGTTACCCCAATTCATCCAAGCCCCTGCCAGTTAAACTTGCTTGCTTGTTTTTAGTTGATGGTAATAAACTACAGGGTGTTATCTGTCCCAAGCTGTCATCTAAAAATACGATTCTGCAGAACCAAGACTAAGAAAAGTTGGAGAGTTTTAGATAACACTGTTATCAAAATGGATCAAGTGGATAGATAGAGCTCAGTGAGCTGTTATGGAAATTATTATGACGGGTTTACTTTGGTTCAGTGAAGGCTGCATAAATCAATACCTGCTAATACCTCACATTAGGAAAAAGAACATTTTATTTAGAGAGCAGCTCAGTCCCTGCTTGAGCAGGCTGTTGGATAAATAATCTTCCAACCGCAGTGGTTCTGTGATTACAACCTGCAGCTTTTTGCAGAAAATTGGCACAAAATGTGGTGCATCAGGTATCTTCTGAAACCAAGGCATAAATAATGCTTGAGCATGAAAACCTTGGTCAGGGTTGCTGCACAAAGTGAATTTCACCCTCAGGCCACATTGTCTTAGCCTCATTCCTGCTGTTTCTTGCTTTCAGCCACTGGAACAGTACTAATGGCTCAAAAACGGTTGCACAGGTAGTGCAGAGAGTTATTGTGGTAACTCTTGAGCTTAGAGTGAGAGAAATTAAGCATTGTTATCTATGTCAACACGTTTGAGTCAAATCTTAAGACTTCAGTATTTGGTCCTTCTTAAAACAAGAGAACTTCTCTACAGGAGGGACAATAATCTTTTTGGATTTGGGTTTGCTATGAAGTTACAGTGCCCTTACTACATGTGCTTTGTTCTGATCTCTGATGTAACATGTGAGCTCTTAGTTCTTGTGACTGAAATAATTCTGAGATGGTTTGTTATTCCAGGGTCTATGCAAGTAATGAATAAAACAAGGCGGATCATGGAACATGGAGGTGCTCATTTCATCAATGCCTTTGTTACAACACCCATGTGCTGCCCATCTCGTTCCTCTATTCTTACCGGGAAGTACGTTCACAACCACAACACTTACACTAACAATGAGAACTGCTCTTCTCCATCCTGGCAGGCCCAGCATGAAATACGTACGTTTGCAGTGTACCTCAACAACACAGGATACAGGACAGGTAAGATCAAGGCTGGCTCCATCTGAAAACTTCCTTAGACTAATTAGTACAGAGGCTAATGTGTATAGTATTTTAGTTTGCTCTCCTAATGGACTGCAGCAGTGCAGCGTGCCAAGGCTTCCGTCTTGCATGTAGGTTTAGCTTCCTTGTACTTTTACTTGAGGAAATGAAAATGCAAACAAACAAAAAAATCCCCCCAAAACACAAAACCAAAGACTTCCCAGAAGCTGGGAAGGATAAAATAATGTGCATGCTTGAACCAAAGGTAGTATGCCCTGCAATTACCTGAAGTGCACAGAGCAGACAAGAAAGATACTATGGAAAGAAATTAGTGATTTAAATTTGTCATAAACAGGACATATTAATCAAACTAAGAATACAAGAGAAGGGCCTCTTCATTCTGGACTTTGGGGTAGAGCTGTCAGCTGGATTGGTTTCTCTAGACAATTTGTTCCCAGGAAGTTGTTGAGGATAATGACTGAGGAGTAATGGGCAAGATCAGATGTATGCCTGAGAAACAAATGATCCCCTTTGCATGCAGTGCTTCTTAGGAGCAAATGTCCTTATTTCAGAAAATATATAGTGTGTTTCACACCTATTTTGTTCATGCATTCTCCAGAAATGAGATTTGGGTCCTTGCCTATTACAGTGGTTTTGTCACTATTCTTGCTAATGCCCTTTTTCATGATAAGAGGGAGGCATAAACCTGGTTTTAGTTGAGTTATTTATAGTATATGCACCATAATATTATAGGATAGTTGTGTTTGATACTATACGGATTTCTTTTTTCTTTGTATATCTGCTATTTGAGGTTTCCAGAAACTGGCATAAATCCTGAATAACAACTGTAACAAGGTTACTATTTTCTTTCTAACTATTCACGTGAGTTTTACGTTATTGCCGCAAAGCCTTGGTCTTAAAATAAATAGGTAATTTCCTTGTTTTGTTTATCTAAAATAAAAACATGAATTAATCTGGGAAGAAATAAATAGGGGGAAGTGCACATACCTTCTTAATTGGTTGCTGTTTCCCTCCATTTATCATTCCTGGCACTGATACCAGTGATCATATGAATACCACACCAAGGTTAATGGCTTATTCTTCACAGATTATTTGTTCTGTGTTTGCTGATGTTTGTTTGTTGTAATAATTTTTACATTTAGTGACTATATTTCAAGCACCTGCTATTTCTACCAATGTGCATAGCTATTGCAAGTGTCCTGGTATTTGTATGTCTTAAATTCTTACATTAACTTAATGCTTAAATTTAGACCCAAGATCGTCGTGAATCTGTATTATACTTTCAGCCTTAATTTTTTCTCTCTTAATTTGCAAACTAAATGTATTAGAAGACATGGTAATAGTACTTTTACAAGTACAAAGCAGTCTTCAGGTGTAAATGAGATCCTCATTCATGTAGTTAAATGTGACATGTTATTATACAAACTTAAATGGTAATTGCCATCATTGGAGGCGGGTGTTCATTTCTGATCTACAGTTAGTCTTGAGTTATCCACTCTGAAGCAGTAAGAAGGTATTGGTTTACCTTTCTTGCTTTTTCTTCCCCAAAGATCTGATCAGATTTACCTGCTTCAGAAACAGTGGGAAATTGGACTTGAGAACCTTGTTCTCTCACTTTCAAAAGTAGCATACTGAGGAGAGCATTTGGGAGATGATGAATATAGTTTCTCTCAAGTGGGGAGTGCTCTTTGAACATGACTGCAGTGAACAAAGGAAGATCTGGAAAGCACAAGAGATCATTTGTAATTTTTTATTATTATTATTATTGAGTTCCATGGTTTGTGCTGCAAACAGTTTAAATTCTTGATTCTCCCTCCCCCACCTTTTTTTTTTTTTTTTTTTTAAGAAGGAGAAGAAAAGCCTGGAGCCATGAGGAATAAAGCCTTTTCAGGCTTGCTTTTATATTGAAGTTCACAACCTTGGAGTGAGAAAGCTATTGCTTTGGAAAGGAGTTGGGTTTTTTCCTTAATTCAGAAGCCAGGCCTTCTCCCCATGTGTCTCTCTTTTTTGTTTAAACTTGAAGGAAGAAGTTGTGCTGTTCTACTGCACTTAACCTTCCCTGTGTTTTTTCTCCTTGCCGCTTGTTTCACATCTCCTTGTGCTCTGCTCTAGTCCTTGTGATCTCCCTGTGTGGTGTTCTCTTACAAAAGGTGATTCTGCTTGGAACTGTTCTTTCTGCATTGTAGTGTTTCCCTGTGGCATCTGCGGAGGCTGGATCTCTGCAGACTTCTGCTGCTCCTGACATCTCTGGGGAATGTGCTAGTGTTAGGCAGGCAGGAGGGAGCAGTGTGGGGTATGTTTCTCTTCTGTTACAAGTGAAAAGTATAAGAGGAGATGGAAAAGGTGTGACTTTCTTGTAGTTGCTTTTCAGTTTCAGCTTTTGTTGCTTGTTTAATGTTTTTTAAATTTGGCACTTAAAAAAGTTTCACCAACTTTGTTAGGCACCAGACTTGGCAGAATAGAGATGGAAATGAGAGGCTGAGCTCAAGGGAAGTTCTTTATTTGCCTATAACAGCCAGGGTTTTGACCATCATGCATAAGGCTTACTGTCACTTTATGTGGCTTGGTTAAAATAAATAGCATGACAAGGCAAAGAATGGGTTTTCCTTCCATAGTGAAAGCCACTGAGGCAGTAGGTACTGCAAACATTAACCTATCCTCACAGTCTAAGAAATGCCAATGTCCTGAGCAGCAACTTGAATCTGTGTCCTTTTCACGTGCCCTCTTCATGCAGACAACATGTTCCCAATGTCAGTATATTAAAGCAATCGGTCTGATTTTTAAAGAGCTTCTCACATCATTGTCCTATTGCATATTGTGGGAAATTAGGCAAGGAGGACAATTTATGTAAACAAACCAAGTCAATTGATGAATTCATCTTTAGAAAAGTCAGTGTAAGCAACATCTGAATCAACACTAACTTAAATTAATGGATGCTAGCACTTCAGCTTGGAGCAGGAGATGATTAGAATGGAAAAGAAACAAAGAGATCTGTGGCAAACATTTCTGAGTGACAGGGAATTTCTCTGCCAAAGGTTCTTGTGTAAACATTTATGGAAAAAAAAAGTTCTGTTTTCTATGAGCATACCCATCTCTTTCTGTGAGGCTGCTTTTAAAATGCATGATGCATTGTTGCATGCTTGGGTCCTGAAGCAACAAATACCAAGATGTTTTATTGGAATACAGATTTAAACTTTCCCTTAGACATTACTTAATGAGAAAAGCTTTTCTTTTTCATTTGCCTGGCTGGCTCAATGACTAGGTCTTAAAATTGGTGACTGATTCCAGAATATTTTGTCAGCCTTATCTGCAGTCAGGAAATGAAAAAACATGTTTATCTTATTAAATTCAACAGAATTAGGGATGGTGGGCCAAATTCAGCCTGGCAGAAGGACACTCTTGCTTCACTGAATCTTCTGAGAGGGTTCTGTTAATTTATATTTGTGCTTAATAACGTGGCTGAGTATGCCGCAAATGCAGTATATGTTTCAGCAGACTTTCTAGCCTTGTTTCTGTGGAGCAGTACCTATAGTACAGCTAACCCTATTCACTTAAATAAACCCATTAGCAGAGGAAAAAGTGGCTACTTGTAGGGTAATATGTCAGTATCTCGCTCTAAGTCCATACTTGAACAAAGAATTAATAAATGCTTTTTTGCACCAGTCATGTATTTTGAACCTAAAGAAAAGTCATTGTAGGAGGTTCATCTCTGCCATTGTAAAAAAAAATGTTCTTGGGAATAAAAGTAAGAATCATTCCTAGCCCTTTCATAGGGCTTTACAATAATTAACTAATGAATTCATTAAAATTCAGTGACAATCTTCCGTTTCCTTCCATTAATATTAGACTGAGAAGATACAGTGGCTGACTGCATTCAAATAATTATTTTTCCACTTCGCTGTCTCAGCCTTTGACATTTTAAAGTGATTTTACCGTTAAATCGTAAGAAAGAGGAGAAAGGCTATTGGCAAATGTTTATTAAAGGAGGAATGAACCTGAAAAATGTGTGATCAGATTTTAATATCTAGATACATGCAAGGAGAAAAACCCTCAAATTATCAGTTCCTTGCTGTAGAATTTGCTGTCTTCACAATAGTTGGCTGTTGCTGGTTTTTATTACAGAAATACTTGAAAACTTAACTGAAGTTGATCTCTGTGTATAACTGCTTGGTAGGGAATCACTGGTGACCTAAGCAGTCAAAGGGTAGATGGAAATGGAGATGCAATAGTGAAGTACTTTCTAAAAGGTCACATGCAGGTGAAGATCAACATGAAAAGATGCAGGTTGTGATTCACAGTCCAGTGCCCACTCTGCCTTGCTGTGCTTCACTGTCATGGTACATGTGTATAAAGAAAACTGATTATCCAGGTCAGAGTAACATCCTCTATGCATGACAAAGAGCACCTGCAGCTGATGAAGAACTGAAGGCCATTTTAAAAAATAATAACCAAGTGATTTATGATTCAGACTTAGTTTTTAGCACTGATTTGCAAGATCAGGAGCAGAAGTGTTATGATCCTCATCTCCAAGACAGCCAGGTGACTTTTCAAAACTGGTTATCAGGTTTCTGAATTATTTATCTGGAAGGTAAATGAGTTTCTTTGAATCTTTTGCTCTTTTTATGGAAATGTTATTTTAGCAAGATCTGTCCATTTATACCTGTTAGTTTGAGAACATTTGACTTGAAAATGGCCTAAAAGAAAGATTGGGCATAGCAGCTGTATTGTGAGCTGTTGCTGCAACAGGAAACCAAGGATCTGTGCTGGAAAGGACACAAGATGAAGCCTGATGTATAGCCCAAAGCCACTGACTTTGTCCATGTTACTGCTTCTGCTGGGCTTGGCCCATGGCAGTGAATTATTGAGCTGGAATATCCTGCAAATATTCTGGAGATTGGCATTTTCAAAGAAAAGTCAGCTCTGGATTTCCTGTCATATATGTGTTAAAGAGTTTCTTTTTTTCCCAACGCTAATATCAG